ATGAGGGTGGGAAATTTGGACTACCACTGGAAAAATAAGGTATTTTAAATAGGGGCCTAAATTTTACCTTGCAACAGGCTATCTGCCGACCCTTTGAGAGTTGTTGCAATTATTCTTAAACATGCAGAGGTTGTGCTACTCTACTTACATTAGCCCTTAGATTTAATGTCCCCATTTTGACTGGATGTGGTTGCCTGTTTATCACCCCACACAGCTCTAAGGATGCCCCCACTTTATCAAGGGTTCTACTGCAGGAACAGGAGAAGTACAGGGATTACCATATTTCTGTTCCTCAGTAACTTTTGGGTTCTACATTAAGAAAGGGAACACATAAATCTTATGATTGGGCCGAAAATAAAATTGAAATTGTTTGATGTTGCCTACCTACCCACCTAAAAAGCAGCCTACCCGAAAAATTTTATGACACAAATTGTTTCAATTTTTTTTTCGTGCTCTAAGGTCCTTTTCTTGTCTAAAACATGTAACTTATGTTGGTGGCCAAAAAAAATAAAATCCCTACCTACTGTTGAGAATACCGCGGGAGTTAAGACGTCGCGTTTTACCAATTGTATCTAGGGTTGACGTCAATGCGGGACGTAGCCTTAGCAGCTCATATATATGAAGTAAACGTTAAACTGTATGGTTGTGTTCTTTCTGTATAACGATAGTTGAGTTAGCCCCGACATTTATGGTGCCGTAACCAAAGGATTACATCGATGGAGAAGTTAAAGAATATTAGGACTGGAAATAGAAGTGCAGTGACGAGACTTTTCCGAAAATTCGAGGAGGCGAAGGAAAACACGGACTTCGACAGAGATGAACTACTTGCAACATACGATAATCTTACGCAAAAGAAGAAATTGTTGGAAAAACTGAGCGAACAGATATTGGAAGCAACGGATTCAGACAACGTTGAAAGTGAAATAGTAGATACAGATGAGTATTCAAATAATTTAGACACTAAACTTAGACATTTTCGTAATTTCATACAAATTGGTCAAAACCGTACACCAAGTTCCAATGTAACACAATCTTCATATCAAGTACTCAATGTAGAAAGCCCTCCTTTCCGCCCGGCAAATGTTGATAACTTTCAAAACGCAACACCATTCTATGCTTCATCCGCCGCTCAACCACAGACAAGCTACAATGGCTCTGATACAGGTCATATTGCTCCACAAAATATAGCTAGTACTAGTAACCATCGTTTACCCAAGTTATCACTACCGAAGTTTAATGGCAACATTTTAGATTGGCAAACGTTTTGGGACTCGTACGAATCTGCTGTACATTTTAATCCTACTTTGACAAACATTGAGAAATTTAATTATCTGAAATCGCAACTTGAAAGCGAGGCATTAAATACGATAACTGGATTTGCGCTTACAAATGGTAATTACATGGAGGCTATAAATGTACTCAAGGAACGGTTCGGACAAACACACAGAATTACGGAAGCCTACTTACAAGCTCTTGTAGATATTGCCCAACCACGATACACCTTAACAAGCTTAAGATTATTTTATGACCGATGTGAAGCCTACGTAAGAGGTTTAGATTCGCTCGGACAACCTGAGACGTCATATGGAACTTTACTGGTACCGATTATCATGAGAAAGTTACCCAGTGAAATCAGACAACACTTAGCCAGAGAACACGGACCGTCCAGTTGGAATTTGAAAGATTTGAGGAAGAGTATACTTAACGAAATTCAAATCATGGAGGCAGGACAAAATACGGGCACTTATCTTGATTCTATAGACCACCAGTTTGCAAACACATCTATAAGTACATTTCACACAGGAAATAATTCACCACAAGGACACATAGCACACAACGCGAAGAAAGGCCAGCCCCGGAATATTAAGGAGAGACCATGTATTTTTTGTAAAGACATACATGCGCCAACATACTGTACCAAGGTTAGTGACCCTAAAGCCCGCATATCTATAGTTAAACGAGACAATTTATGCTTTAATTGTTTAGGGAATCATCATGCCAATGAGTGTAAATCAAAAAGAACGTGTAGACACTGTAACAAGAGACACCATTCCAGCTTGTGTAATGTAGGTAACCATGGTAACAGGGAAACTGTAAGCAACCCAGAGAAACAGAACAATCAAAATCATAATCAATCTACATCTGTCAATATCATTAATAATACTGAAAATAAGGAAGATACGAAAATTTTACATTCTTCGACACAGATGCGCACAAATGTGCTATTGAAGACTGCTGTAGCTCCTGTATGGTCAGGTAGTATGTGTATGGATACTAATGTTTTATTTGATGAGGGTGCACAAAGATCTTTTTTAACTGATGATCTAGCGAAAAAATTGAATTTGAAAACTGAAGGAGTTGAAATTGTACATTTATCGGCATTTGGAAAGGATAACACCAGCACGAGCGAACTACGTAAATCCACCGTACACATTGAAACAGAGAATAGGCGTAAATTTCCTATTGAAGTCCTTATTGTTCCTACTATAGCAGTTCCAATACATAATCATATGCGTTACGTAAACCGAAATATGGATTATCTCAAAGGATTAAGACTCGCTCATCCAGTTACTCAGGACGATTCTTTTGAGATATCGTTACTTATTGGTGCCGACTACTATTGGAACTTTATCGAAGACAAAGTAATAAGAGGAGACGGACCGATCGCGGTTAAGTCAAAGCTTGGATACTTACTATCAGGACCCTTACAACCAGGAAGGGTACATTCGTCTACGACATCCAGCATCTTGAACGTACTGGTTTCGAATAAATCAGAGGAATTTGGCTTAAAAGAAATGATAAAGGAACAGACACGTCGCGGATTTATCGAGAGAGATGAGGAAGCAGGACCGACAGGGAAAATATTAAAAGATGGACTGAATGATACGTATCTAATGAACTGTTGTGACTTATTATGGACTGTTACGAAAATGTTTGATTTATTGACTTACTTTCAAAAACCTATAATATGATACTATTTCATTGAAAGAAGGAACAGGTGCACGGAAAATATAGACATACTGTGATTTGTGTATACGAGATAGACTCATTGTGATTTAATTCGAAGATAACTAATCTGGAAGTTAATGACTGTGCTAAAGTTATTAAGTTAAAGTCAAGTTTAGATTTGATAGACAGTAATTTTCATTCATTTTTACTTTATTGTAATTTAATTTTAATATTTACTTTTAGCGGCCCGGAGAATGTTGAGAATACCGCGGGAGTTAAGACGTCGCGTTTTACCAATTGTATCTAGGGTTGACGTCAATGCGGGACGTAGCCTTAGCAGCTCATATATATGAAGTAAACGTTAAACTGTATGGTTGTGTTCTTTCTGTATAACGATAGTTGAGTTAGCCCCGATACCTACCTACCCAACCCTACAAGGCATGGGTAGACAACATCAAACAAAGAATTTATTACGGGTGGCCTTGTTTAGAACAAACCTTTGAAAAATATATCTCTTGTTGTCTGTCATGATTTTTTTTTTTTGTGTTAAAGCCATGTTGGCATATATCCCCGAAATCCTTGTTGTCATGTTTTGAAATCAGTGAAACCTTCCAAATTGGATCTATATTGAAATATAGATAATGTACTAAAGACTATTCAGTGTATAGATTTACATACTGTGTATTTGTTATTATTCATGGGGTACCAATTATTTTGGTGGATTTCATGGATATAGGCAGTTCATGAATACACCTTATCGCTATTTGTCCGCCATTACTGGACATCACAAAAGTTCCCGTAAAATTTTGACGTCATAATAGAAAATATCTGACGCCACAATGGAAAAGTGATTGTTGTATGATGTCAAAAGTTCAAGCGGGACAGATTCTCGGGTCAAGCGGGAATAGCGATAAGGTGTATTTAAATGTTCAACAAAATATGAATTTTCTTTAGGCTTGTATGCTCATTGGCAAATCCATGAAAATAAATTTCTCTAATTTTCATGCTATTTTTACATTTCTTGATCACTGATAAAAATATCTCTCATCTCTAGAGAAAACTTTGTTCTCTGCAAATGATTGGTTGAAATTCAATTATGACATCAAATTTATTGATTTCTGCTGAAGTTCTTATTGTGACATAATGAAAAAAGGCGGCCATGCCTGCTGACTTCACATATAAAGACCACAACTTTCTGCAAATCTTTGAAAAGGAAAGATAAACTTTGTTTAGATATCGTCTAAAAATCATTAGAGAAACAGGAGATAACAGATTCCACCACTTTATCTCGTGTATTACATCATTTCTCCACTCTTAACCATTAAATATCAAATATTCAAAAAGCTTGGCAAGCTTTGCGTTTTAAATTTTAAAATTAAACTGTCCCTAGAGGAGAAATATCGTAACACGCTTGATGCAGTGGCGGAATCTTTATATCCATGAAAATACAATTTTTCCTTAATCCATGAAAATTGGTACCCACTAGAATAGATGAATTCACAGTAATTGCTTTGTATAGACCGGTTTTTGCTTACTTCAGGTTCTTTAATAGAGGTTTAACTGTATAGGCATGATTTTCTTTTAATTTATGTATGATTTACTTTTGATTCATGCAATATGCACTACAGCGAGTGTAGAAATGCCATTGTTCCAAATTGAAAGTAGCTAAATGACTGCTTACATATCTTAGCCTACATTTATAATAAGGTAAAAACTACTATAGAATTGCTATTGGAGTGAGCATAGATGCATAACTATTCGCGATTCATCAAATTGGCAAAAAAAAGAAAATTTATAGGTAAATTTATATGGCTTTTTAAATGAAACTGAGAAATTACGTATTCAAACTAAGTTTTTGAAGTTTTTAAATTACTTACTCTATAACTTAATTAAATTCTTAATATCTCTATTCATATGGATTATTAGAAAACGGACTTATGAAAATAATTAAACTGTATAACCCATATTGTGAGGTGTAAATAAATTTTATCTGCAAAAAGAGAATAAAATTCTATTGTTGTCTGTGTTTAAAATATAATCTGGTTTTGTAGGAGTTGCCCAAGTGAGAGGAAAACATCATATACTACCAGTGATATTTTCAGTTATATGAATGAGAAAGAAATTGACCATTTCAATTTAGTTAAGGTTGACTTGAGAAGGGATTTAAACTCTTGCTTCATTTGTATTTTATCAGAGTGTTGTGTTGAAGCGATAAAATGTACATAATGGACTAACAAGATCTTGTGTAAATAGAGGTCAATAGTTACAACTGACCATATACAGCTGACCACTCACATTTCATAATTCCACAGGATGACGTAGTGGACCTGGTCTAGACAAATAAGCCTCGACTGTCAGGTAAGCTAGAAGTTTGAATATGCGTTCTCTTTCATACATTTAATAGTATTAACTACATCTTAAGTCAGAATCAAATGGTATTAGCATACAATTTTATGAGTTAATTTTAAATTTGTATTTTATTCACAGATATACTTTACACAGTAGTGTTGACTTTAAAGTTTTATTATTAAGTTTTGTGTGAGAATCTGTTTGTGGTAATTGTTTGATGTACTTTACTCGAGCATTTAACACAATGATAAAAAGTTAATCCTTGTAATTTAACTTTACCAATATATATTCAATCAGTAACCATACGTACTGTAGTCATTCATACTTTTTGTAAAACTATATACTGTAAATTCAGAAATTATTGTGAACTTTTTATTAATGTGACTCATTGAGTATATATGTCGATAATAAGAACTCACATGGTGATATCTGATACATGTATCTGTACATAGCTTTTACTAAACTCACAATAATCAAACTCACATGGTGATATCTGATACATGTATCTGTACATAGCTTTTACTAAACTCACAATAATCAAACTCACATGCTGATATCTGATACATAAAATTGAGAATGGAAATGGGGAATGTGTCAAAGAGACAACAACCCGACCACAGAAGAGACAACAGCAGAAGGCCACCAACAGGTCTTCTGTACGTAGCTTTTCCTAAACTCACATGCTGATATCTGATACATGTATACATGTATCTGTATGTAGCTTTTCCTCAGGGAGCTAGCATTTGATTTTTATGGGTGGGCTAGGATGAAATTTGAAAAAAAGGCAGGACAGGAGTTTTGAGTAAACAAAAATGCAGGATGGGCAACTTTGCAAAAAAAAAAAGGCAGGATGACAATTTATGTAAAAAAAGTCAGGATAAACTAATAAAAAAAAGGCAGGACCGAATAGAGTGATAGATAAAAAGGCATGACAGAGATTACAACTAAAAAAAATGCTGGACAAAATTTTTCATCCTAGCCCCCCCATAAAAATCAAATGGTAGCTCCGTAAACTCACAATAATCAAACTCACATGTTTTTTCATTCTTTAAAAATGGCAATAATAATTGCACACATTAAAGTATCTAGCAAGGTGGCAAAAATCTCACTAGTATTAAATGAAATTGTTCTAGGCCTTCAATTTACTCAAAAAGTATCATTTTGACACCATTTGAAATTAAATTCCAAGACTGTAACAAAACCATATGGTTTACTAAAGACTAATTTGAAGGGTAAACAGAGGGAGGGTGAGCAGAGAGGTAGACAATGAGGTGAGGAATTTTCTTGTTATGTATAGGTAGACATCACTTGTGAATCAATAATTTGTTAATAACTAGCCTCCTCTATAGTTATCTCCCCAACCTCCCCCTCCTTGGTCATGATATGGAAAACATGGGATTGGTGCTATTATTTTTCGAAACCTACCCTATCCTATCATTTGTCTACAAGGTCAGTTGAAGTTTAAACAATAAAAAAAAAATAAACAAGTGAATACCAAAAAAAAAAAGTTGAACAATGGATTTTTTTCTAAGTAGATTATACATAGAACTGCATAATGAAATGTAATTTAAGTTCAGTACAAGTTCATATTGTTCACTGGTAGTAATTATATAAAAACATGTTTACAATGTCTTTGTAATTTATTTTTTGAAAAAGTATAATGAAAGTTTTTTATTTTATGAGTGAGATGAAGACCTTCAAATATGATTATATATATTTTTTTGTGAGAGAGACATTATAATATTTGGCATAAGAATAGCATTGTTAGGTAATATTTATTGCATTATGAAATAAAAAAGGAATGAAAAGGTTGCAATTACTTTTAGTTCTCACATCAACTATTGTCACATATATTGGACTGGTTAACATAGTTTACTAAATAATAAGTTGTTGAGTGATTGAGATGTGTATTAGCACTCTTTGTCCTTTGACATTTAGAGTAATTAAGAATTTGGGTTGACTATAGCAGTTTTAGACATGAACCAAACACACCCTTGTAATTGATTTAGGCTTATTTTAGGTCCATTTGGGTGAGATGAGCTTTTGTCTCTTTGACACTTTCCCTGTTAATCCATTCTCGATTGTATTGCCTTATCAAATGAAGCCTGTCATCATTTGAACATGAAAGTTTGCAAAATCTTCTCTTATGTGACCCCATTGGGTCAGTTTATATTAGACTTTAGTTGGTTTCATTCCTGGGAATTTTATTCTCAATTCTATCTGATGATCAGACTGAATGATGTGACCAAATCTTTGAATGTGGGTCTCATTGGGGTCTAAGCGTGACGCGGGATTGCCGATTTGTTGTAAGCGTGACAAGTGAAAGTCAAATAATTGTGCCGTGAAAAGGGGAAATGAAGTCTAGGGGGATACAGGAAATTACAAAAAAATGAGAATTGCTTACGTACATAGTGTAATCTGACAAAACAGTAAGCGGGATCAGTGTAATCTGACAAAACAGTAAGAGGGATCCGGGATCAGAACCCCCCCAATGAGACCCCCTTGAATGGCCACACAAAAAGGGGGAAATGTTAATATCAATACTTTCTTCCTTTGCAATTATATAAGAGACAGCAACACAACAAAATAGATGTCATCTTTGGCTATTGGGTGTTTATCTCTTTCTAAGGTGGATGGGATTGCGCACATCAATTACTAAGATGGTAACATTTATTGCAATAAAAAAGATTAAGATCAATTTGAACAGGGGTTAAGAAAGGGAGAAGGTATAAAAGGGTTTATTAAAAACAGAAGTAGAAAAAAAACAAGAATACCATGCCTAAAAGAAAAAATATGAAAAGACATCCAACAGTTTTACAAAACACAACACAGAAAACTAAAAGAATAAAATGAATTGCATTAAAAAGTGCGCATCAACTTGGTCATCAGTTAAGATAAGGAAAGTAATTTTCCTCAACAAATTTATATCTAATACCCTAGCCCCTTATCAAAGAACTAACACTACAGAGCATTGTTGGATATTTTATCCATTTCACTCAAAGAAAAAAGCAAGTGAATACAATTTTTTTTTCAAAGCAAATTATAAGAGTATCACTTCATTTAAACCACTTTGTCAGTCTAAAGCAACCAAGACCTATCATATAGGTACACTGTGGTTACAAAGAAAAGTGGTTATAAATTTTGACTTTGTGCATGTAATGTGACTCTTCCCATCATGCATGCAATACTTTTTGTTTGTAATTTTAGCAGTCTTTGGGCTAATAGGTGAGGGAAATTGGAACACTGAACTTCACAGTCCATCCCTTGCTCTCCATAAATTAGAAACATAGGGTCATCATTTGTAATTGTATATTTTATAATGAACTATTTGAAATGGAGGTCAGATCTGAATAAATGAACTTAAACTAGGCAGAAAATAGGACTAATGTAAATTTTCTAATTAAAGTTATTGTTGAAATGGAGAATGTATTTAAATTGAGTGTCTTATTATGTCCATGCATACATTAAGCTATAAACTTGACATTTTAAGTGGACTTATTGTCTTTCTAGATTTATGTTTAATTGTTCCTTAATTGTTTAAGTGGTAGTGTACCATTAAGTACTCTGATACTAGTTCATAATTTTTACTTTTGCTTGAAATGAATAAGAAAGGATTTGGTGTATTACTTCATGACACAAAATCCTTCCACAATTTACAGTTTGTCTTGATGAATACCTTGTAGAATTACTGCTCCTGAAAGGTCAGTGCTTCTTTTTTTTAGAAATTTTTGTATGTCTGAAAATTACTTTTTGTTCACAATTTTTTGCATCAAGCCTTCATTTATCATAAACATTTCAATTTTTTGGTTCAAAGGATATAAGGTGAATGTATATGATCCTAAAATTTCTACAGATATTCTCAGAAATAACTAAAAATGAAAGCAACATTACTTTATTGCTGTTCTTCATCTGAACATTTGCTTTACTAGAGGATCTTCCTTTCAGGACCCAACAAACCTTCCAGCATGGTCAAATTGCTTCCTAGTGTCACCACAAAGTTTACAAATACTGCTTACAATATAAAAGTATTTTTTTTCTTGGTCCTCTCACTACCCTGTTTATAAATAGCTTATTTGGCCAAAAGACCCATCTGAGCTTTTTTCATCACTCGGTGTCAATCATCTGTTAACTTTTAGAAAAATATCTTCTACTCTGAAAGTACTGGGCCAACTAGATCTATACTTGATCATAATCATCCTTGGGGTATTTATTTTTATAAATGTGTTTGATGATTCTGCTTGCCAACCAACATGGCTGCCAAGGCTTGAATATAACATAGGCGCAAAATGCAAGTATTGTGTTCATGATCTTGTAAAAGTTTACAGATGAAAAAACTAACTGGGACAGAAATGTTGAGAATATCAAGGTTTGTTTTCCTACTGTCCATTTTAACCAAAATTGTTGGTCCTTCCTAAAAGCCAGGTGAGCAATACAAGGTCTTTGGAGCCTCTAGTTTCATATTACAGTTTACTGGTATATCAATGTAAAATTTGCATCAAAATACTGTGTTTTAAAATTTATATGGATTTCAGTCTATTTATTAATGTGTTTTTTATACAGACTGATATTATACATTTCAAGTGTCTTAAGTGACTTCCCAACACCATACTTATTATGCTCTTAATTATATGTCAGTTTGACAATAAGGTGTCATTGAATCAACAGACTTATCTTGTATCCTGTGTAATGATAGAGATCATATCTCTTTCGTTAGTGTACATGCTTCAAATTAAATGTTTCCATAGGAACCGGATATATCTTAAGGCTTTCACATGACATTGTTTGTCATAGGAGAGCTGAAGCAAAATTGTGACAGCCAATTCTGTGTTGAGGGAATGTTAAGCAATTATCAATCAATCAATCAATACAAAATCCATACAAAGAACATTCATATGAATGAATGGAAATGTGGGTGATAAGTCAATGAGACAGCAACCCAACGAAAAAAATATCAATGTAAAATTTTACATTGACATACAAAAGACATATAGATGGCAACCTACTGTAATCAAAATTAGACAGTAAAAATAACATTAATGGTACCAATTTTTCCGCACCAGATGTGCATTTCGACAATTAATATCTCTTCAGTGATGCTCGAGGCCAAAATATTGAAAATCCAGACAGATGTCCGTACAACATGTCAAGCTCTGAATAGTCAAAAGTATATATATATATCAGTTGTGAATAAATTCAACAGAAACAATTAAACATCTGCCATTAACTCCCAATTCTAAAATAAAGAAAATATAAAGATATGAAATGCAACAACTAATGACCAGGTTCCAGACTTGAGACAGACACATGCAAATGTGTCTACACTTGTTTTTTTTTGGGAGGGGTTTCATTGTTTGGTTGCTCTCTTGCAGAAACCTTCATCTCCTTTTATTCATACTAAATGATATGGAGAACAAACATTTTGACGTAAGTAGCAAAATCTCCCAATCATTACCAATATATATATGAAGCTGGTGTATACATATTGGCTTACATATATAAAATCAATTACTTTAATCTGTTTCTTCCGTTTAAACGATATTTTTTGTCCTAAATCAATTTCGATGATATTTTTTGTCGGCTTATTGAAAACATGTGTAACAATGCTTAGCTGGGAGAATAGATTTAACAATGCAGATATCATTGCATGTTACTTAATCCTATTATTAAAATGCAATAGAGATGATAAATGTGTCTTCCAGATGTAAATAAAGTTTAATGCCAAATTAACAACTGTTTCCTGGTATTTGATGTTTAACACTTACGCATATTTATGTTTTTGATTACTGAGCTTTTTGATGAATAATGAAATCAGTTTGGTTGATATACCCTCTTAACAAACCCAACATGTGGAAGAGAAAAGGAGAGAAAGATTAGACCACCTATTTCTTAAAGTAAAAAATTGGATGGGATTTATATTATCAAATTGAAAATATGAAACATTATGATTATCTGTGTTTGTGCAAGCCTTTCAAAATACAAATGGGTTAAGTACTTTTTTGAAGATGCACCGTCTAGCCCATTAACCTCAGTAACAAAATGATAATCTTGTCTGTATAGTCAAAGAGAGACAACTTTTAAAATTTGGAAAGATTGATATAAAATTTCCATTGCTTTTTGTAATTAAATTTATACAATTACTGTTCAATATTACATGCAAACTAAATTATGGAGAGTATAAGAGAGCTTTGATTCAGTGTAGACATGGTAGACTATTTCTAATTGTTGCCCAAGATCATGAAATGAAGGTCCTTCAATTTTGAAGGCTGTACTACCTGTAAGAACAAGCTGACACAATTGTTGCTTATGATTTTAAGCATGATTAACAGAAGGCATGTAAGCTATTTGTCCAACAGGCCAAAAAGTGGTCAGTTTGGTCAATATTTCTTGTTCTAAAGAATGAGCCAATTGCAACCAAGCTTGACTGAAAGTTCATTGACTAACAAGTGTTCTGCTTTGCCAATCCAAAATTCAAAATTGTAGCTAGCAAAGCTCAGATTTTTACACTTAAAACACTATGCGAAAGATACATCAAGGTTGAAATAATTTTGCATGGCAAAACTGGCTTTCACCTGATGTTGCTGTTCTGATAAATCCATCAAAGCTATCTCTTACTTGAAAGATCAGTTGTTGATTGATGTACCTACAGAAAGCATGTTTAGACATAATAAATCTGTTAATCCTATGAATCAAAGCTTCTGTTATTCTTTTAAAGCATATTTTGAGAAACACTAGTTGAGTATTCTCTATTGATGAGAGTCATATGAAGTGTTTTAGAGGTTGATTGACTGCTTTTAGACGAGGTTTGATGGATGAGACTGCAAAATTAACACATCATTATTCTTAAGGCCCATCAGTTAAAAACAAAGTAAACATAATTAATTATGGGACTGCTGATAAATAGATATACACCACCTATACATTGGTATACTGCAAAATTCAGTCTAGACATTTTGTGAATTGTTTTTCTTAAAGTCATTTATTTCATTACATACCCATAGCCAGGTCATTCGAGGGGTTAGACAGACCCCCCCCTAAAAAAATACTAGCAATGACTATGAAAGTAAAGATTTTGGGATTGAAATTTGACTACTTAAGTCAGAGCTTCCTGAACCCAAATAACCCCTTCAGAGATATCTTTGCTATATAATGCCTTCATTGTTTAATCAAACATGCATTATAAGGCACAAAACTTTTATATAAATGGAGACCAGATAGAACTTTCTACAGGTGCCATCAACACAAGTAAAGAATGTGTATAGAGGTCAATAAATGGTCTGCCCTGATAGACAAGCATCCATGCAATGTGTCAATGTCTAAATAGTTCTGAATGTAGACCAGCTGCAAATGCATTTTGACTGAGACAGTGCATATCTTAATACATCAACATCAAATTCAAAATGGACAACTGATATTGAAATAACAATGAATGACAGATTCTTGTCCTTTGACAGATACATTTACATATGACAGGGTTAAAGCAAATAGTTTTGTGAATAGTCAGTCCACCCCTGTTATAAAATCAGTCAGTGGAGTCTGAAAAAATAAAGAGACAAATGCACAATTGTTGAAGACCGTACAGTGACCTATAGTTGTTAACTTCTACATCATTTTGTCTCTGGTAGAGAGTAGTCTCATTGGCAATCATACCACATCTTCTTATTTTTACAATAAAGTTCAGTATGTTTCAAAAACAGTTATGTATCAGTGCAGAAGTCTTATTTTGTACAAATATTGCAAAAAAAGAACATATAATAATCCACCAAAGCTCAGAAAGAATTCAAAGGTTTTTAAAATGAATGAATTTATGGGTGAAATTAATATTAGCACAAACTTGAGTTTAAATTAATGGAGATGAATGAATTGAATGGTGAAAATCACAGCACAAAACTATATGTTGAAATTATAGCCAGTCCAAAGAGTATGGCTCTTATCTTACTATATGCTCTAAAAGTTTAAAAACTTAGGCGAAAAACGACACAACAGTGAATTTATATGTCTGTCCTATAATCTCCTCAGCATATAATGATTTTTACAGATGTAAATCAACAGATTTCACAGTCTATGTTACCTTTCATCTTCTGATTATAGGGTGCAAAGTGATCTATACCATTCAGAACCTAAATCTGTGATTTTAAAGGGGTTCATAAGCTATAGAAACCCTCTAATCCAGTGCTACTCATGCACGACAGCTGACTGTTGCCAGATATATTATCTTAAAACTCTTCATTATGCCAGAATACATGATACTCAGAGTATAGATCAAACCCGATCAAGTGGTTGTGTTTATATTTCAGGAAGAGGCATATTTACATGGAAAGATGTGAACTTCGTAGAATCTATCACTTATTCATGGACACTTCAAAACATGGTAAGTACTTAGTAGATTTGTCAATGATATTTTTGTTTTCTGAAATAACAGCAAGACAATCTTTGATCTAACATACAAGTATTGTTGATCTTGATTTTTTAATTAAGGCTTTTTTATCTCTAAGTATTGTCTCCATATCTAAGTATTCAGTCTGGGTCACAGAAATATTTTTTTTTAAAGTTTATTCTACAGTAAAAGGTTAATGAATTATCCACTGTCACGGAATAGAAGCTACTTCCTTTATAACATTAGTTCCAAATAGATGAAATATTTTAGAATATTATTTACATTGGAAGAAATTTTACAGTATTTGTTCCTTGAGGAAAAGAGGGTAAAGAAAATTCTTGGAACAGATATTATTGAATTGTTTATTACAAGAGGGTATAGAAAATTCTTGGAACAGATATTATTGAATTGTTTATTACAAGAGGGTATAGAAAATTCTTGGAACAGATATTATTGAATTGTTTATTACAAGAGGGTATAGAAAATTTTTGGAACAGATATTATCGAATTGTTTATTACAAAGTTACCAGAGGAAGTTTTGTTAAGAAAACAAATATATCTTGACACTTTTATCAGCACATCCCGTAAAAGTGATATGAATAATAATATCCATACAATTTTTACTCTATTAGAAATGTATGAGGGTGTGGACAGCTTTTGAGGGAGGTGGGAGGTAGGGGCGGGAGGTGGGACACAAAAAATAGGTGGGAGAGAAAAAAAGATTCTAAAAGTGGGAGGTGGGAGGGAGAAGGGTACCCCCTGTCCACCCCCTCATGTATATGTTTCTCATAAGATTATGAAAAGAAAAGGATGGAATAAAAAATAAATAAATGCTACTATTCTTTGCACTATTTTTTTCTTCTTCATAATTTGGTAGGTATCATAAAACTATTCTTATTTTTAACAATTATAAATCAATAAAGATCAATTATCCCGTAGGTGAAATCTCATCTATATTGTTGAATGACTTCATGGGAAATAACAAGAGGTGCAATTTAAATGCTAGGATTTTATTTTACTTAAGTATGGCTCTATCCCAAACCTTATTATCTTAAGATATTGCATTAGTCCTCCCTTAAATTTTGTTTCACACACATTGAAAACCTTGAATTATTGTTTGTTGATCGAATATCAAGCTTCTGTCAATCATTTGTATTATTTTGATTGGCAAAACATTTGCTTTATATAATCAATTTTACATTTCACACAACCAAAACATATAACACAGATAACATATAAAATTATACCATTTATAAATTCCCAGGATACATCTAAAAATGTTTGCACTTTTATTTTTATTTTTGCTTTCAAGAGTGTTGACATGTTAATTTATACAAATTTTCTTTCCAAATGTAGATGATAAATGATAAACTCCTTAAAACGGCCGCGGTCAATGATTTTGGGGAAAAATTGCACTACACATTAACTTGCAGTATACTGATTTTCAGATCTAGAAAACTTGATTTCAAAGGCTCTTTTTTTATGACTTCTTTTCCAATTCCCTATATATCCTCATTTTCCACTGGCAGTCCAAATTTCCTACTCTTCATCCAGCCTAGACCTGGAAAAACTTGTTTTCAAAGAGTTTTCTTTATGACTTCTTTTTCAACCTCCAATATATCCTCATTTTCTACTGGCATTCCAAATTTCCTGCCCTTCAATCAGGTTTACCTAGATTGCAGAATCTGCCTTTTGTATCAATTATTCATATTAATACGACTGCAAAAAAATTTTAGTGTCGTATATTGCTATCATGTTGTTGTCAGCGTCTTCCGAAGACATTTGGTTTCCGGACAATAACTTAAGTTTAAGTGTATGATTCTCTATGAAATTTAATCAAAAGGTTCAATATCACAAAAGGAAGGTTGGGATTGTATTTGGGGGTGATGGTCCCAACCGATTAGGAATTAGGGGCCAAAAAGGGGCCCAAAACAAGCATTTTTCTAGTTTCAGGACAATAACTTGTGTATAAGTATTTTGATTGCTCTGAAATTGTACCACAAGGTTCAATACCACAAGTTGAAGGTTGGGATTCAATTTGGGGGTAATTGCCCAAACCGTTCAGGAATTAGGGGCCAAAAAGGGTCTAAAATAAGCATTTTTCTAGTTTTCAGACAATAACGTGCGTTTAAGTGTATTGATGTCTCTTAAATTGTACCACATTTTAGAAAAAGACAATTTTCTTCAAATGTTATTTTTTGGGGAAAAAGGGGGGGAGGTTAAACAAAAATTTGGGGGAGGGGACAATTTTTTATCCTCAAGATTTAAGAAATGAAAAAGAAATTTCTTCAAATATTATATTTTTTTGGGGGGGGGGGGGGGGGGGGGGGGGGTCATTTTTTTTTCTTCAAGATTTAAGAAATTGTCAATTTAAATTTTCCAAAGAAAAATTTGGGGTCACAATTGCTAATTCTTTATATATTGTCTGAAAACAGATAAAATTGAGAATGGAAATGGGGAATGTGTCAAAGAGACAACAACCCGACCATAGAGCAGACAACAGCCAAAGGCCACCAATGGGTCTTCAATGCAGCGAGAAACTCCCGCACCCGGAGGCGTCCTTCAGCTGGCCCCTAAACAAATATGTATACTAGTTCAGTGATAATGGACGTCATACTAAACTCCAAATTATACACAAGAAACTAAAATTAAAAATGATACAAGACTAACAAAGGCCAGAGGCTCCTGACTTGGGACAGGCGCAAAAATGCGGCAGGGTTAAACATGTTTTTTGAGATCTTAACCCTCCCCCTATACCTCTAGCCAATGTAGAAAAAACAAACGTACAACAGTATGCACAGTAAAACTCAGTTTAAGAGAAGTCCGAGTCCGATGTCAGAATAGGAAACAAAAGAAAATAAACAAAATGACAATAATACATAAATAACAACAGACTACTAGCAGTTACTGACATGCCAGCTCCAGAACTCAATTAAACTGATTGAAAGATTATGTCTTCATCATATGAATATCAGGCACAATCCCTCCTGTTAGGGGTTTAGTATTATACTGTCATAAAATATATGAGAAGAACACAACCTGTGTCATGCCAACAACTGGTTTTAGAATAAATATGTTTAATTCCGATGCAAAGACCCTATAAGTGAATCAATATTAAAGCCAAAATATGCAATCTTTAATGACCTGACAACAGTATCGTAACTATATCCCTTCTTAATAAGTCTGTTTAAAGGTTTTGTTAGCTTTTGAGGTGAATACTGGCATTTTTGTGCTTTGTAAAGTATATTACCATAAGATTGGATGTGAAATACCCGAACGTATAAGATGTCTGCATGTTGAGTTATATTTACGAATGATGTCCTTATACCGATGATAAAATTTAGTAATTGTTTAATAAGATTTACTAAGTATTGTGCAACAGCACAGTGTACTGCACAAAAGCAAGAAATCTTCAATTAAATATAAATTCAAATCATATAACCAATTTTAAGTTCTTTGACTACATTTATTCTGTGTCAGAAACCTATAATGTGTCAAATATTTAATTACAATCCAAATTCAGACCTGTATCAAGCTTGAATATTGTGTCCATTTTTGCCTCAACTGTTCAGGGTTGGACCTCTGCGGTTGTATCCAGCTGCGCTCGGCGAAGCAGTTTATTAATATTTAGGCCTTTTTAGAAAAAGAAAGTCCTGCTATTGACCTTAAAAATTAAATAAAATTAAAATTGACAACTTTGTCATTTTTGCCTACTTATCCCACCTTATAAATTGATATTGGACCTTTTTTTCTACTATTCAGATAGATGCTATTGTTTTAATCTTCTTATTCATTAAATGACATTGACATTTGACTCATGACCTTGAAATAAGATAACAGTCAATTCCTCCACAAGGCAAGCATTTCACATGATGGTGAAGCTGGGATGCCAACTGGAAAGTCATGTTATGATTTTGACCTTTGACCTCTGGCATTAAAGCTTTCCCCATGGCAAAGTAATGAATAAGAATAATGTGATTTAGATGCCAGTAAGACCTTTATGTTGCCTTCAAATTATTGAAAAGGGACACTTGTATGTTAAGTTCTCCTTGCTACTTTTTCTTGTGAGATAATAAGAGTTAAGTTGGAAAGAAACTAAAGAAAAACACAAAATCGTGTACTTTTAAAATTTAATACTAACTATGTACAATGAATTACCTGAAGGATTATCTTCAGCAAAGACCTACATAATCTTTGAAGTAGATAGTTTATCATTGAAACATTTAAATTTGTAGATTACAATTATGTGTTTTCAATTAATTAATTGCTTTATTTTAGAGTTTAAACCATTTACGTTTCTTGTCAAATTAGCATGGATTTAAGAGAATTACACCTGGTTAAGTTAAAGTGATAAATTCGTTTAAACGATTTTTCATTCATGCAGGTGTTTTTTTCAGATTTTCTTATGTAACATTTTATGTCCTTGAAACTGAATAATCTTGGTAGACCAAAGTGTAATTTTGGGAGACGAAAATCTTAATTTTAACACTCTTTATTTTTTATTTGTACTGAGGTACTAAAAGGATTAATGTTTTTTACATGAATCTTTATTTGATAGTTTCTTCTGTTTCAAAAATGTTAAAACTTAAAACTTGAAACTGTGAACAAGATCTTATAAAAATAATAAATTTCAAGTAAAAAGAGATTGTTATGCAAATTTAGTGACCCACTGACATTGATACCAATTTATTAAGCTCATTTTAGCTACTGTGAAATTGATTATCTTTCTTAAGAACTGCAGTAATGCAAATAATAGTATATGCAATGGTGCTATATCAAGTTTTTTTTTTGGCAACCACCATCTCATCTCAAAGGAAGACTAAAGATGGTTTGAAATTATACACACAACTCTTCCAACCTTTCCACCAGTGATTTTTCGATCACTTTGATTTTTGCATATCTTTAAATAAAATAAGATGATAGTTTTTAGTTGTTGATTTAGGTGACCTTGAACTGAAATAAAGTTCTATGCAAGGGGACCAGTTAACCCTAAA